ACGTGTGTCGTGAGTACAACATTCTGAATCTGCAGTGCCTCGGATGGTGCTGTTTTGTGTGTGCCGGGGAGGGCTGTGACATGTCTCCTCCCTCTGAGTGTGTGCATGCCTGTGATTGCAGGGTGTGTGTGTGTGTGTGTGTGTGTGTGTAAAAGACAGATACTGTCTGTGTCTATAGCCATATAAAAAGATCTTTGAGTGTCGCAGGTTCGATTCCCAGTCAGGGCACATGCCTGGGTTGCAGGCCATGACCCCCAGCAACCGCACACTGGTGTTTCTCTCTCTCTCTCTCTCTCTTTCTCCCTCCCTTCCCTCTCTAAGAATAAATAAATAAAATCTTTAAAAAAATAAATAAATAAAAAATAAAAGATCTGTGCATACAGGCCAGGCGCCCAGCTCCGTAAGGTGACTGTGACGTTGGCGATGAAATGCCTGCATGGAGCACGGTGTTCGAACGGACAGGGTCTCTGTCCCGCTTGTGTGCTGAAGGGTGGCTCATCATCTGTTTGTACTGCACACCCAGGTGACGTGCCATCCTGTCTCCGGACAGGGTGACCGACGGGAGCGAAGGGGGCAGCCCCGGGGGACGCCGCGCCCGGGGGACGCCCGCTCGGGCCCCCGGACGGGCCCCAGGCTGCCGCGGAGAACGCCGGGTCAGGCGGCTCGCAGGGCCTTCACTGCAGCTCCTGGGCAGCAGCCAGCCGCCGCCGCCGCCGCCGCCGCCGTAAGTGATACGCCCGCCACGGGGGGAGGGCTGTGGAACTCGAAGGCCAGAGACACTTTTCCTTCAGTGGAACATTCCTTTTCACCTGCTCCTCTGTTCAACCTGATAAGGCCTTGAATGCACTCGTCTCGAGAGTCCCTTGCGCACCCTGACCTTTCCGTGCCCGAGTGGAGCGGTGCAAAGCAAACTGCCAACCTTGTGCTCAGAGTGAGGGGCCGCGCCGGAAGCCCCCTGTGGTTTCATTTCAGATCGCCGTGTGACACTGACGTACTTAGTGACCGGCAACCTCTTTGTCAGCAGTCGGCATAAACCAAATGTAAGGAGAGTTAATTCTGTCCATTAACTTCATGATTTTTATTTTTTAATCCCCATTTGAGGGTGTGTTTCTATTGCTTCGAGAGAGAGAGGCAGGGGGAGGGAATGAGAGCGAGAAACAGGAGTCGGTTGCCCCGACCGACTGGGGTTCGAACCCACAACCTAGGGATGGCCCCGACCAGGGACGGAACCTACAACTATTAGTGTGCGGGCTGACGCTGCGGCCGACTGAGCCACCCGGCCAGGGCTCCGTTAACCTAATGCTTGTTCAACATCAAGTGCGGTGGTGGGTTAGGACAAGACCACCGGACTTCAGTGGCTGGACGTGTCAGCTTCGTGGCCGCAGGCATTTAACTAGAGACACCCCGGCACTCTGCACCCGGGCCTCAGCGTCTCCGCTCTGTCCCAGCGCCCAGCCATGGGGCCACAGCGAGGGGACACTGGCTGCTAACCCGTGACTCCTGGGGAGTAGAAGCCGTCTGCCCACCCACCCTGCTCAGAGGTGCGCCGGGGAGGAGGAGCTCGCCCGGGAAGGGGCTGCTGTCAGGCCCGCCCCGTCAGCTGGGCCGTGTGTCCCCATCTGGACCGCATCTCCCTGTTGTCACCAGTGGGAAGCCACGGGAAGTGACGGCCCGGGTGACATTCTTGCTGTAGGCTGGGAGACGGGCGCAGCCTTGGGGGAGAACCTGAGCTGTTACTCAGCGCCCGGCTGCGCCCCGGGCCTGGCCTTGGGGGTCTGGGCAGGTCGCTCTGCCTCTAGGAGTCGCAGTTTCTAAGAGTTCCTGGAGGCAGGGATGTTAGCAACGGCCTCTCTGCGCGAGAACCTTTGCAGGCCGAGCGAGACGGCGCAGGCAATGCGCTTAGTGTTACTCGTACCACCCACTGAGCGCTTCGGAAGCAGTGCCATCGTTACTGTGCGAACAGTCGCCGCACTCGTGTTTACTCCCCCACTCAGCCCCGCGAACGCAGGTCAGCGTCAGGAACGTTCTGGAACCCAAGCCATTTCTAGACACGGCGGGTGGGGGAGGTGGCTTCTTCCCAACAGTGGGAACCCCTGAGCCAGGGGTGGCCCGGACTTGACCCCCTGGAAGTGAAGCCATCCCCGGAGGGCAGTCAGGAGGCAGGAGGGGAGCTGGCGCCCCGGGGGGGCCTGCTGTGTCTCGGGGCTGGCGCCCTGTGTCTTCCACGCCTCGTTTTCTGGTACGTGGGTGTCACAGTTTCTTTTATACGCCCATGTTCACAGTCTAGCACGTAGTTTCTGTTGTTTCCGCAGGGCCAGGCGGAGAGAAGAGACTTGGCCGGGGTCACCCGCGTAGGGTGTGGCCCGGGCGGTGCGTGGGCGCCCCGTCTGCAAGGCCCAGGCTGCTCCCGCCCCGCGGCCCCGGCCGCGGCTTCCCCTGCCGTGCTCAGGCCCCACCCGGTCTCGGCTGACTGCAAGTCGCCCCTCACTCAGTTTCCCAGTTAAAGTCTCCTCATACCCCGTTCCTAGCGTGCACAGCCATTTAAACTGTCTCTGATGTCTCTGAGTTGAGACTTGGAGACTTTCTCCTCAAAACCCGGTCCTTTGGGCCCCATTTTGCCACTGAAGTTCATCACCCTCGTCTGTGGGTCCTGGGCCGATACGTGACGGAAGAGCCATCCCCGTTTCCCATTCCCGTCTTAAGTGCCGAGGTCTTGGGAGCCCGTGCTGGGGAGCAGCGCCTCTGCTTTCCAGCATCTTCCTGGCATGTTCCTGAGCGCTGCGTTTGCTCTTCCCCCGAAGGAGAGGCCACACTCCCTCTCAGCGCCTTCCCAGTGAGTCATTCCCGGGGAGCTCGGGGCACAGCCTGCCAACACCCACCCCCCCCCTCCACCCAACCGCTAGTCGGTGTGCTAATGCCTTCTCCCGTCCCCTGCTCCCTAGCGGGTCCTTCCTCATGCACGCCGGCCGTTTGTGGCCGTGGCCGCCACCCCCGGGACAAGCTCCGGGACTTGTCTTCAGGAGGTGGTCGGAGAGCCGGCCTGCGGAGGAGTTCTTACAGGGGATCCGACCGGGTCCGAGGGCATGCCAGGGTTCTGGGCTGTCCCCACTCGTGGTGCCACGTTTCTCCCTAGAGACGCCTCCCAAATGCACTATGAGGCATTTTGGCTCTTAAGATTGGACGTGAAGGGACGGGAACGCCCGCTCGGGAACTCGGGAGGGCGGACGTGGGTTCTCTGAAGGCGCGGCCTTGCTCTCTGGCTCGCCCCCTACCTCGGGGCAGTACTTCCCACGAGGCCGTGCGACTGGGGTCTGTGTGGCCAGCTCCCAGCTGACCTCCTTGGCTGTGCGCTGCCCTGGAGGCGGACCCGAGCCACTCAGGGATCTCTCCCGGACAGAGGGAGCGGCGGGTCCGCGGTGCGGCAAGTGGCCTGGGAGGAGTGGACCTGGAGGCAGGTGCCCCAGCTCCTGCTCCCTTACCCCTCTCATCACGGGCCCTTCTGCTGCCCGCCTGTCTCCTCAGAAAACTCTTCGTTATCTTTCAGCAAAGTTGCCTAAACCATGGCCTCAAAAGCCCTTATGAAAAGGGGACGGGCAGCAGTCAATGACTCTAGGAGTGACTTTGAGTAAGTAGGACAGTCTCTCTGCTCCTTTTCTGTGGGTCACGGAGCAGGGGGCCAGCCTTCATTTCTCCGGGACTCACGCAAACCACCCTCATCTTTCTTCCCATGGAAACCACGTAAGACCATCTGTGACTCTGAAGAGGAACTTGCAAATGCGCCGGGGCCCGTGGAGACTCTCAGCCAGCGACCCTCCGCACGTGGGGAGGCAGCGGGCACCCCTCAGCCCAGAGGAGCCCCGCCACCGAAAAACACAGACTCCGCTCCCCGCACTTGCCGGGCTCAGCCTCCGTGTTTGGCTGAGAAGACGACCGAGGGGGGAGATGTATAATTCAGCAACGGTCTCAGCGTTCTCCGTGCCACCCCAGCTCGGACTGCACAGGACGCGGTTTCCTGCCCGAGACCACCTGATCCCACCGAGCCTCGTCTGCCCGTTCCTTCCCCACCTGTGATGTAACGAACCTCCTGCTCAAACATGTCCTCCTCCTGCACCGGGCCACGGTGCACAGAGTCACTGCACCTGTCCGTCTTCAGAGCCCTCCCCCGCACGGTCCCTCCTCGAACGCTGCGTTGTGGTGAGTTAGAGGTGCGTTATGGGGAGGGGGGGGGCACGTCTGCAGGCTCACGGCTCATGTGCAGCCCTGCCCAGCCCCGGGTAAACGCACATGCACAGACCACGTAAAATCAGGTGATGTCACTCATTTTACACACACACGCACATATATCCACGCATGTGCCCGTACGTGGGTCCCTGCCTGTGCGTGAATGCACACATAATTTGTTGCTAACCATGTAAAAAGGCCGGCAGATGGGTGCCTAGAGGTGCAGACCCAAATTTAGAGGCAGATGCGAACACCCTAGTAATGACAGGAGAGGAGATTTTTTTACAATGAAGCAATCGATAAGCCTAATACTATATACACATCCCCCGTCCTCAGCCCCCCCCCCCGCCCCCCACTAGGCATGGCCGTGTGCATTTGCGTCCTTAATACATGCTGGTAGAATGCTAGGTAACACACTCGCAGGCTGAAGACACAAATCCCGAGATATCGGCATCATGGCCCCCGTGGCCCACGGACGCGGCGCCCACGGCGGGCACGGCAGGAGGGCCCGGGAACTAGCCCCGGCTCACTCACACAGGTATCTCTTCCCTGCGGGCCACCAGCGGGGCAGCGGCGGGGCCATTGGTGGTCACCCGGGCCACCCCGGGCTGGCAGGCGGTCCCAGGCGCACTCCGGGGAGCTCCCCGGAGGCTGGGGAAGGCGAGGGTCGGGGCCGCGGGGCCGCGGGGCCGCGGCGCGCACCCCCGCACCCGGTCCCGGACCCGAGCCCCGAGCTGCCCGCAGGATCTGCATTACGCCAAGGCGCCGGGCCAACCTACCTCGACAAAATAGAAGCAGGGCAGGAGGGTGACGCTGTCCTTGATCACTTTGCCCTTCGGCCGCTCCTTCGCCGACATCCCGCCGCCAGCCAGGGTCCGCGTCCTGCCCGGGCGAGGTGAGCGGAGCGCAGCCCAGCGCAGCCCAGCGAGCTGCCTCCTCCGGCCGCCTGCGCCCGCGCGCGCGCTGATGTCACATTCCCGCGGGCTCCGCGTGCAGCGCCCCCGCCGTCCGCTCCTGTCCCCGCCCCTCGGTGCGCCGCCCGCCGTCCTCTCCCTCCCAGCTCCGCTCGTGCGCCCCGGTTTCCCGGGGAGACCTGCCGCTGCCCCTCCAAACTGTTGCTGCAACGAAGGGTCTCTGCCCCTCCCCTCCCTCCTTCTCTCCCTCCCTCTCCCCCGCCGCTGTGAGGCCTGGGGGTCAAGGATCGGAAAAAGGGGGACACACCCCTGGATGCCGCAGCACTGCGCCTGGCGACCTAGGGCACCCGCGCCCCTGGGAAGCCTCCTGGGTCCTTCTAGGAACGCGAGCCTCAGGGTTGCCGGGCAGCTTGGCTCCTGCGGCGCCCCGTCCCGCGGTCTGAAAACCAGCCTCTTCCCAGATCCCCCCCTGAGAAGCAGGCCGTGGTGGGGACTCCAGGAGAGCTGGCTGCTACCCAGGAATGGCCGCCCCTTTGGAGGGTTCTGTGCCGGGAGGACTCCCCGTGCCACTGGCCACTGCTGTCGGGGGGCGGGGAGGGTCCCCTGCATCAAGCCAGGCAGGTGCGTGTGTGGGGTCAGTGAGCTCAGAGGCTAGGACTGGTCCAAGCCTCTGGGCACAGTCCCAGAACCGCAGGGGAGGTGCGCAGGTGAGACGTGCAGGACCACGAGGGCCCACCTTTTTTGGCAGGGTGCATGGCTGATCTGAACTTGGTGATTATTTTGGCAACCTGCAAGTGATGTGAGCAGGAACACGGCCAGCTTACTGTACTCACAGAGGTAATACACGTCCCGTAATCACACGCCCGGGGCATTGTCAGCGTCTCCAGAGCCTCCGTGTCAAGCCTGTGACAGCCGGTTCTGCCAGGTCCCAGCCCCCTCCTCGCTCACGGCCTCACTGGCCGCTCCCTCTTCGTCCGCCCCCGCTGCCGTGGCAACACCGTGCTGGGGCGCTTCCCACCACCGGCGGGCTTCCTCACGGTTCTGGAGGCCGAAGTCCGGGACCAGGGTGCCGGCATGGTCAGGGTGTGGCGTGGTCTCCCTTCTGGGCTGGCAGGTGGTGGCCTTCCGTCCTCACGTGGTGGAGGAGGAGAGAGAGTGAGCCACTTTCCTGGGGTCTTCTGAGAAGGGCACGGATCCCATCATGAGGGCCCCACCCCCGTGACTTGCTCTGAACCTAAGTGTCTCTCAAGGGAAGGCCCCAACTCCGAATGAGACCACTCAGGGGTTAGGGTTCCAGCACACGAATTTGGGGACAGGGACACAGACACTCAGTCCACAGCAGACTCCAACAGAGAGTCCACCCCCTGCCCCCTCTGTCTACCAGGCTTGCGGTCCAGAGTCCAGCAGCCTCACTCCTCATGGCCCGACCGTGCAGCGAGCCCACGGTTACACCCAGGTCTGTGCGCTCTGCAGAGCAGCCTGAGTGTTTGCAGAAAACACGCCACCCCGTGGGCTTGTCTCACGTTAGATTCAGCCCGGCCCCGCTGGTCCCCAGTCCCCGTGTTTGTCCCCAGTCCCTTCGCTCTCTGACTCTCCGAGGGTGGCTCACCCCTGCCCCTCTCTCTTTGGCTCCCGTCATTCCCGGTAATGCCTCGGACTCTTATTTCCCCCTGAGAATGGGAGGAGTCGGAGGGGACCTAGGTCCTTTCCCATCATCCCTTGCCTGGACGGGCACAGGAGCCTCCTAACTGTTCTGCCAGCCTCCGCCTGGCCAGCCCTGTAAGGACAAAGCACTCCCTGTGGAGTGGCCAGAAGGATCTCTTGAAAAGTAAGCCCAGTCGGGTCATCTCTCAGCCCAAACCCTCCAAGAGCTTCCTGTCACCTTCAGGAGAAAGTCAAAGCACCTGCCACTTCCTCAGAGTCCTGCCCAAGGGCCCCGCCCAGTCCACGGGCCTCATTCACCCTGTGCCCCCAGGGTCTGGCAGCCCAGTCTAGCTTTCGACTGCCTCAGGGACTTGGCACTTACTGTTTCTTTGTCTGGGGACACTGTTCCGCCAACCTCTCACTTTATTCACACCTTTGCTCAAGTTGAACTCGTCGGGGGGTTCTCGACCAGACTGTTCATCTGAGGAGCATCAGTGAGCCCAGGCCTCCATCACTGTTTACTCTTGGTTTATTCTTGCACGTTACGTTTCTTCAGAGAACTTATCACCATCTGATAGTTTGTCGAGTACTTCTTGGTCGGTTTTCCATTGCTGTCCTCTTTTACTAGCGTGCAAGCTTTGCAAGGCCGAGCACGTTTCCATAACCACAAGTCTAGTAAGTGGCATGTGCTCACAGATAGTGGGTCTGCAGCAAACATTGTTGAAGGAAGAATGAATCAATGAAATTAAATATTGTATATAACATCATGTCACATAGGTTTGTCCACATACTAAATGTTCAATAGATGTGAGGGGATTCTGCTCGTTAATTATGCTATGTATCAATAACTGTATTTTTTATTACTACCAGAGTTACTTTTTGTTTGTTTTCTTTTTCTCAACTTTCTTACTAGCTCAACAGAATTTACAATTCTTGGTAGAGGTAAAAAAAAATAAGCTAGAAGACTTCTGAGTTTGTTATCCTAGAAACTCAGGATTCTGATAGAAAGTGAGGTAAAGCCTAAGGCTGAAACCATAGCCCCCTAATTTTGCTAGCCGAGAGCTGGAAGTATACGATCAAACACCGAGATGTGTGCTGACCACACCGTAGAAGTTCGGGAAGTGGTCGAACATCACAGAGGTGTCTCCTTGCCTCCCTCGGGGGTCAGGGGTCAGGGAATGCTTCAGCATTCAGAACCGATTCCGACTATAAACCCTCTATCCCTCCCTTGCCCAGATTTTTCTCCTCTCCTTTCTCCTTTAAACTAGCGTTTCCCCATTTAAAATGATTTCACAAAGCAATCCAGCCCCTTCATGCCCTCCACCGAGCACCGAACACCACGGCAGCGGCGCCCCCCGGGGGAACTAGCTGTCAGGTGTGTTCTACTGCGTTAACTTCTGACGCCGCACACGGCGAGACCGACAGGCCAGGGGGTGTCCCTGCGATGCGGAGAACACTGCGGACAGGATTCAGGGGTGGGATAAAGGAAACGAAAGCTTGAGTCCGGGGGCAGTGAGGCCTGGAGCCTGAGAACCCGAGTCCAGGCGCAGGATCCGCTCGGCTGCAGCCCTGCTCCACGGCGAGTCACTTCGGGGACTCCCGTTTCCCAAGGTGTGAAACGAGAGGAGCGTGTACCCACCACCCGGGGCAGCGCTCTGCAGACCCACGGCGACAGTGCATGCGGCAGCCCTGGTCAGTTGTCAGTCTGGTCCTTGCGTTCCCCGTCCTTCCGTTCAACCTCCAAACGCGGAGGGACCCCCACCGCAGGAGGGCGGCTCTGGCCCGCGCAGGGGGCCAGGGGAGGGACCCGGACCGGAGTCACGCCTGACAACAGAAGACACTCACACGAGGACCGTCCTGGACACGGCCCTGTCACACGTGGTTGGCATGCCCCGGCCGGTGCGGCTCAGTTGGTCGAGAATCATCTCATAGACAGAAAGGGCGTGGGTTCGATTCCCGGTCAGGGCACAGGCTCGGGTTGCTGGTTGGGTCCCTGGTCGGGGCACGTGCAAGAGGCAAACGATCCATGTTTCTCTCCCTCTCTCTCCCCATCCCTTCCCTTCTCTCCGTCTCAAAAAAAAAATAATAATGAACCTCATTTAACCCTTGTTACCTCCTTAAGAACCGGGCAGCAATGGTCCCACTTCCCAGTTGGAAAACCGAGCTCCGGGCAGTTGGGTTTCGCACGCAGGGGCAGCCGCCGCGATTAGTGCCGCTGAGAACGTGGGACTGGCAGGCCGCTCTGAGTTGGTGAGCGCGAGGGCCACACGCTGCCTCTGGGACACACGTCCGCTGCTGTCTCAGGGCCCCCGCGGCCGAAGGGGCGGCGAGGTTGTGTTGTCACTGCCGTGGCTGTGGCCCAGGAGGGCCCGGGAGGGGCTGCTGTCCAAGCCCCCGTGGCTCCGGGGGACGTCCCTGCGGTAGAGAACCTGTCCAGCCCACTGCACCATGGGCTCCACGGCAAGGCCAAGGGCAGAACTCACGGCTTGAGTGTGGCTTCACACACGCCCCTGGCAGGTCCCCACGGAAACTGGTGGCATGAAAAGCAACTTCCTGTGCCTCAGGGAACCTGAACATTTTTCCGCGGAAAGGCTGCGCCTGTGCATTCAAATGAGGACAGCACCCACGGAAGAGCACGCTGACATTTCACGAGACAGAGGACTTCACAGCGCAAATAAGCCGGAAACGCCGGGCCTGAAAATGCATTTGACATCATCATCAAATCTGTCAGACCCCTGAGATAAGGAAGAAGTCATCTTCCCACGTGTGCGTTTGGGTTCGTTCGGCGTATTGTCGGATCAATGCAAACTCTTTTCCAGCTTCCTGGCAACCAGTCATCCGCAGGATATTTGTCTGGCGTTTATTATTAAGGTTCTAAAAAAATGTGCATTTGATTCACTCATGTCTTTTTGCAGACTTCAGACCGCCCCACAGCCTTCTGAGGAGACAGTGTGAGATTTTATTGCATCTTTCTAAAAAGAGAGAGGCTTAAAAACCTGAATTTGTAGATGTGGGAAGCAGCAAAAGTGCCAAAATGAAGGGAGTTCCGGAGGAGGGAAGGTGATGTTCTAGTTCCGGCCTCATCACCGACGATATGGCGGCTCCTTGAGGACTGTCCTCGCCGCCAATGGCCTCACCTACTGTGCTTGCCCCGTGTGCATTCGGGCCCTCCTGTGCTGCCCCCTGTGTGGGGATGTGTCCCCGCCCCATGTCCCTGAGTGGTACCCATGCTCCTCAGCCGTCGGGGGCCTTTCTCTGAGCGCCCGCAAGCCTTCTGCCGCACCGTGCCCCCCACCCTGGGGTGCGAGCCGTCTCCTCCAGTGGCTCTCTTCTGGCCTTGTTCTCCCAACTGTCGTTGTGACTTGGGAGATGACAC